GCTTAAGGGGCAAAATCCCCCTACCTCTTCCATTAAGGTCCAGCTTGTATCCACTTTTGAAGTGTGGCAAAGTCAGCAAGCCACACAAAGTCGGGTGTGACCTCTGAGCCAACAGAAGTTGCCCTCTGCTAGTCTAAACCTATTCATCTCCTATAAAGGCCTATCCTGTACCAAGAAGCCCCCCCTTTTTTTTCTTTCACAGCTTTGAGGTCCTAATAAGCCTAAAGGTGGCATTATTTCTGCCCCACCAAGTTTACCTACGTCGCATCAAGAACACAAACACAAGTTCAACATATAACTTTCAAAATAAATGCAACCAGATAACACTGCTGATAGAGCCATAGTTGCTGTGAGGGCCATAAAATCCTGACTGTAGCATCTGATGAGGGGGCTTTGAAATGAATATTGAAATCCTTCCCTCCCTTACTAAGAAGACACAGTTTACAGGATGCCAACACCTCCCCTTCAAGCAGAGATGTAAAATTTCAAGAAATGTTGAAGCAATGGGGGGAAAAAGTCTCCCTAAGGTTTTGTGGGGGAAAAAAATGAAAAAAAAAAATGGAAATAAACCTGTGATATTTTTAGTATATTTCGCAGATATAAAACCACACTATTTTATATAATCTTTTATTACAACTTGGTTTGCTGATAAAAAATATGTTTGGTATATAATATTTAAAAGTACAATTTGTACTCAGGCAGTAATTATGCAATTATTGATTAGAATGTACTTTTTAAAAGTTTTGTTTTTTTTAATGAAGCAATATGCTGCTGAATCTGACAGAATGTAGCACATCTTTATTTCTGCTTGTTAGGGGATATAGACACATAAACGTTAATACTGTAAATGGAAGTAATCATTAACATTGTTGTAATAAAGCAAAACAAAAAAGTATTCTGGATTTGTCCTCCAGGTTATCAAACAGATGCTGAAAGCCCTACGTTTCAGGAAAAATTAAGCACGGGGGGATTAATCAAGGCTCAGAATACACATTTCCCCCCCTGAAACTTAATTGTTTCGTTGTCCCCCCCCCCCACTTAAATCTGAAGTAATTCTGCAGTACCTACTGCTTCTGATCCCTTATCACTTTCATGCTGGTATTAAGCCAAGCTTTTTCTAGTTTTTCATATTAGTTGACTTCTTGATCTGGAAAAGTATCCACATAAAAGAGCTTAGCTAGTTTGTGAATGTCTAAATAAAACCAACATTAGTAAATATTTTATGGCCTTTCTCCTTCCATTTTTTTTCAGAAAACATGAACAAGCAATTCCTCAGAGGGAAACAGACACTTCCCTCTTCCTTATTCCACATCTCTGAGCCTGCCACCATCAGCAAGTAGGCTTTTTAAGTTTATAGGACAGAGGCAGCTAGTCACAATTCTTTGATCTTTAATATCTTTCTAATTACCCAAGTAATTAAAAAAATAACATTTCCAGAGTTTATTCATACCTATGAAATTCCTTTATATGTGTAAATCATGCAAGCCCACTCATTTTCTGGACTCCTGCAATTTTCTTAGCACAAGAATGAGGACGCTGCTGCACTTCAGCTGTTGCTCCTGATCCTGCTAGCTGTGGCTGCTGGACGATGTTGTTCAACAACATCAGGAGGACGCAGGCCCTCCAGACCTGGTTTAGCAGTTCATGGGACAAGTATTTTTAATATTTTCCATAGATGTTATCTGTACTTTTCAACTGTAAGGTGCTATTAGAATGGAATTGGTGGGGATTACAAAAGATGTTGCTCTATTAATAAAATGTATTTTAGATTATGCTGACATCACATCATTTATTGATGAATTCCCTCCTCTCCTCTTCGTTCTACTACTTGAGGGTAAAAATGGTTATTCTGAACTTTTAAGACTTCTGTGATGTAAATCAGGGCTATAACACCATTGTTGCATCTTCACTATTTCTGTATAGAAAAATCAATGTGAACTTTGGAAAGACATAAAAACAACTAACAAGCAAAATTGCCTTGTCAGCTTTCTGCATCATTTCTGGATGTTTATAGGCATATTTGACTTAACCCGCAACTTTTTTTCTCTGACCAAACTAATAATTAAATTGGCCTCATAAAGTATAACTTTATGACACTATCATTGAATTTTCCATATTCCTTGCAGTTCGGCAGTAGTACACAATTCTGAGAAGATTTAACTTGTTCAAAGGACCTCAAATAGAAGTTTTATTTGTTCTTTCCACTGGGGATACTCATGTCCTTTTATTTGTCATAACAGAATAATTTATCATCAAACAACTTGTATATTATTTCACATTCCTTACATTTTAATAATGTCTCCTTTAAAAAAAAAAAAAGAGTCCCTTTGTATGCTTCAACCTGTTTTGCAGCTGAAAAATCTATAATTTTTCTTGCCTTTTTTTCCCTTTGTAAAAGAACACCTGGGCATATCTTTAACCACTTGTCTTAGAGGAAGGGAACTGTAAAACCTCTGGCTTTAATAGGCATTCCACTTTTTTTCATGCTTCTATATGGAATTAGACTTCAATAGCAACATGACTTGTTCTAACATACCATCTGAACTAACAAATGCTGTACAAAATAACACAGCAGGCATTACAAAATGTATTACTCTATCAGTCATGCTGTGACACAGTTTGCAGTATTTGTATGTATTTGAATACAGTATTTAGCTTTTTTGCTTACGTTTTCTATCCTGGCAAATCCTTGTTTTCATGTGTATTTCTTGAAAGTGATATGTTGAAGGGAAAGAGCAAAATGCAGTTGAAAGTTCTGTCTAAAAGCAGTACGATAGGCCTGTCTATATTAATCTGTAGAAAAGGCTTTAAAATATAATTGTTGAAAATTGTGTGTTTCACCCTAACAAACTGGGAATATCCTCATAATAGATGTTATATAAACATGCTACACAATTCTTCTGTTTCTGGGGCCAAGACACCACTTCTCTAACTCTCACACAAATCCACAGAAAGTTGGGATGCACAAAATGTGTTAATCTGGGAAGGGAACATTCCAGAGAATTCTAGAGGTTCCATTTCCTTCTGATCATACTGTAAATCCTATGTTCCAGGGTGGTCTGACCTGAAAACAGATTTGTTTCATCCAGAACACTATATCTATTCCTAGATCAACAAATTTTGCACATTGCAGGTTGGAAAGAAAGGCAATGTGAAAGGCTGTTCATGGCTCCTGAGTTGCAAGTTTACCTCCCCATATTTAGAGGCCAAAAAAGAAAAAGAATAATATGTTCTAAATCATAAGTGGAAAATGTCCCCCCTCCCAAAAAAAAACAAAGATATTTCCTCATAATGCATGGCGCGCACACATCAAGCTTTGCCCGCAAGTGGTGAAAAAAGTTCAAGAAAAAGGCTGGGTTAGAAGGTTTCTTCCCAATTTTCCAAGAGACAGATAATTAGAAACTAGGTACAGTCTTCTGTGACACCATCCTATGAAAGGACTGTGCTACAGTGTTTTAATTGTCCTAAAGAAAAGCAGAGCTGTTCAAGTTGTCCGAACAGGATACTGGCTAGGAGAGAACCGCCTTATGGTTCCTGGACCAAGGGAAGACATGTAGGATCTAAAACAAATCAGTGTTATGAGTGTGCATGCACATACCCACAAATATAACTATCATTTACGACCATGCAACTTCTAATGCAATCCATGATCAATACAAGCCTCATTCTTGGAGGCACTGATTTCTACTTTATAAGTTGCTTCTAATGGCTAGCTTCAGTGTAGATAATAAAATCCTTCATCGTCCAATCATCCCAGACACTGCTTCTTGCAATCTTAAGCTACTACAACTTTAAAGGCTGAGAACTGAGAAAAAGGTCCCTCTTACTGAGGTTAAGTAATACCTGACCTTAGAAACATCGGGAATGTAGCAAGATAAAAGGAAGTTTGTACAATGGGTACCACTAGACATTCCTCTCCTATCAAAGTCTCTCACTTATGTTCATCTCAGAACAAAGCAAGTCTGCACTCAAGGAATAAATCTTATCACCAATTTAAAGAGGGTGGATGGGAATATGAAACACAAGACACTTATTTCATACCACAGAAATGGACATACTCAAAACACAATTCCCCCAAAATACAAAGGAACTCTTGAGAGAGAAAGAACTAAGTTTTACACCTACTTTCTCCATTAACTTTAGCTAAGCTGCTGACTGCTCTGTTTTTGGTGACATGTTTTACTGATGGCACAATAGTGTTTGTGCCAATAACCTATTTATATAACCTGACAAGTTACTCTGGACTGAATGACCTCATTTTTTTTCACCAAACCATTTTCTTTTAGGAAAAGAACCACAGCAAGACATAAAGAGATTCCAGCTACAATTTATTTATTTATTTATTTATTTATTTATTTATTTATTGGGTTTATATGTCTCTTCAATCCCTAGATTCCAAGCAGATTACAACAATGTACAATAAATAGGTTTAAAACATTCAAAAAGACCTACATTCATATTACAGACAAACTCAACACTGTATTCACCATTCCATATCCTGGGTTCAGCCTCCATCATCTCCTCACTCTTCATTTCAGAAGGCCCTGCTAAGAGCGAGGTCTTAACTGCCTTCCAAAAGGACATCAGGAACAGGGCCATTCTTACTGACAGGGATAAATCTGATGGTAGTTGGGAGAGGTACATGCACAAAATCTTAGGCATGGATCCTAGCACATTTTTTTTTTTTTTTTTGCTGATCGAGAAAGAGAGATGGAATTCCCTGTTTTTCCAGGATGCAGAATTGGAAGCAGTCGTTTAGGCCATTCAGTCAACTCCTCTGCTTAGCAGAGGAATTCAGATTAAAATGAATCATGGAAGAACAGAGTCAGAAGGGGCTTGACATAGTATGTGACCTCCATCTCTGCACTGCTACTTGGAGCAAAAATATACAACATGAATGTGCCATTGCGTAGTTAGCTCTTTTCATCGAATCAGTATATACAAACCATCAGATGTGTTACAATACATTGACTGATATGAACTGAAACCCAAATACTCACCGGCCTTGCTTGGTGAAGGAAAAACTATCATCACTAGGACAGGAACAATCATAAGTCCATTTATCATTGTAGATCTATAAAAAAGAGGAAAAAGATTCTTCCTTTAAAAACAAAATCACAACTACTCAGCATATCCTTTGCCTGAATGCCAATTGCATTTGATAGTTCTACATTGTTCAGTCAACAAGTTTGAGCACTTTCCCAACTTCATTTAACAATTGCTTGACAGACATCAAGAGTTTGTAAGAGGCTAGATTCTGGAACGGCAAAAATACAGTCTTCTTGAACAGTCAGATGCCTACAAAATAATGCATTTACAAGTATGAAACTCATTATACAGTCACAAATTTAAGCCTGTGGGCCTTCCAAGCCATTCATAACAGCAGTTAATACAAACAGAGGTATGGACAGGCTTTGTATGTTTGTATGTGTGTCCATGCGTATGCGCCTTTGAGTCGGTGTTCTCCTGGAAGCTGCCTGGACAAGTCCCTGCAGTTTCCTTGGCAAGATTTCAGAAGTGGTTTGCCAGTGTCTTCTTCCTAGGGCTGAGAGAGAGAGTGACTGGCCCAAAGTCACCCAGCTGACTTTGTGCCTAAGGAGGAGCTAGAACTCACGGTCTCCCAGTTTCTAGCCTGGTACCTTAGCCATTATACCAAACCAGCTCCTATGGACAGGCTTAATGTGTAGTATCTGGAGTCCAAAGTAAAAGGCTGATACTTTGACCAACAGGAACCACAAAAAGACTCCAAAGCCAGACCTAAAGCATTGCATCCAATATAAAAGGAGGAGGGATCTTAACCAGTAGGGATGTTATTGTTCAAAAGCTGTTCCCAACACTAATCTTACAAATGTGAGTTCTGCACATTTCTTACAGATCAACTTCACCTTCAGAAAATCATACAGCAGCAAAACTGTGAGAACTGGCAAAATTACTCACTTTTTAAAAAGACAAAATGGTCAGTTCTGGTTTGGCCTGTTTTTTGCCCCTTTTCAACACTAGAATCTAATCTACTCACCACTGGAGTCAGCAATAACATTCCTACCAAACCATAATGTAACAGACTGCAGTTTCATGCTGACTGGGGTTTGGCCCATTGAGACATCTCTTGACACATGATCTGAGCTTGTTGTGTAATCACCACATTTGGGGCTAAAATTTATAAGATTGGTCCATAATTACATTAACCATTACAGGGAATCAAGAAGGCATGTTGATTATATCCCAAGCCTTTGGAATCCATCAAAACATCACGAATATTTTTGACAAAGGTCAAAGAAGAGGACTTTGAGCAACAGACACACTTTTTGGAGCTGCTTTATGATGTTATTTTCCAGGCTTTTTTTTTCTTTTAAATTTAATATTAGATCACATTCTTAACATATATGAAATTATTTCATATTAATGTCATACAATAAAAGTTTTTTAGGAAAAAGAATGCTAGAACCTCTTTAGATTGAGGTACCCAGTATCTTCTTAAATATGCTCTAAAAGGGAAAACAGGGAGATGGGGAGGGGGCAAGAGGAAGGGAAAACCATGTTACCAAATTCCAATTGAGCAACAGGAGACTCCATTCATGGATGCTTTGGGCTACGTGTTTTCAAGCTAATTATATGCAGTTTGAATATTTTGCTGAATGTGATTATCACTGTGAACACAATGTACACTAACTAATAGTAGCCTTTATTGCACACAGCAAAACACGAACCAAGTCCTCAGTACTGAATTACTGCACAGACCTTGCAGGAACAAAAGCAAAAGGGAGGAAGAATTTGCAGCATTAGCCTGCCAAAAATACAGATTCTGTATTCATTTTATCAGGAAACTATTCTATTGATCAAGACAAGCTGTTTAAATGATACCCTTAGGGAGGAGAAAGTCAAGCACTTCTTGATTTATAATGCTTAAGAAGAAGTAGAGCCCAGCTCTCTACTACACTAAATTCTCTAACACAAGCCAACAAACTGTTTAGGCAGCTGAAGCCCTGCCAAGAAACTTTTGGAAGGGATGTCAAGATTTCTTGCTGGCTGCCATTTTGCTCAGAGAATGTAGGATATGCTGCTACCCTGTAAATTCATGCAAGTCAGAAATAGACCTAGAAAGAAAGCCTGTTAATTTTGAAAGCACACATCAACTCCACAAACAGATGCCAAGAATTTTACACAAGAAGTCAAGTTTCACTGCTGCCTTTCACCTAGATAAACATGAAACACCCAGAAGGATGATTATTAAGCAAAAAAGATAATCAAAGCCTAGAAAACAAAACCTCTGGGTCACTGAAAACTGAGCCCTCTTCTGAGGGGGCGGAAGAAGAGTTGGGGGCAGTGGAATGAAGGAATGGCTTGGATCCAAGACATGACGTTTTAGAACTTGGGTTGGCAAGTTCCATTTGCTTGAGGGATGTACTGAGACACATTCTGGAAGGATGATACATTGGGGTTTCAGTATCTTAAGAACCTAGTGTTTTTTCCTTAAATCCCACAAAAATCTCCCCAAAAGTTCTACAACATTTTTAGCACACGGGGGGGGGGGGGGAGTAGGGGCTCTATGGCCACAGAAGGAATGCTGGCAGGCTGCCTGCAGCTCCCACTCTATACTTTACAGAGCAGTTCAGTGCTATTTTGTATTCAACTTCATATTATATTTTCCTCTAAAATGTATGTCAACAGCATTATCTAAACCACTGTCAACATAATTACCTTCCAAACATCACCTCTAAAATTGAAAGAACACTATTACCTGATTAAAATAACCCAGACTAGACACTAAGTTGCCCCACGTATGACACTAATTTGCACCATGTATGACATCTTAATTAATCCTCTCACAATCTTGGTTTTACTTATGTTGATTATTTAATTGGTTTTTATATTCAATTTTAATGGATTGGTTTTGTTGTACACCACCCAGAGTCATCTTGTGTGAGATAGGCAGCCTTTGATAAAATAAATAAATAAGCTGACAACCATTTATTGAACTTTTATATACATAATGTGTCCTTTTGGAAGAAAGAACAGTAGTATATACATAGAATTACTATCTTTACCACCATCATCACCCCTCAGCAAAACTTAGAGATGATCCTGAGCATCATCTGGAATGTTTATGTTCAGTTTTGTCTTTGTATATTACCTCTAGTTTTGAAGATTCTAGGACAATTTTTTAAAACAACTGAATAATAACAAAAACAATGATAATAACTCTCAGGAAGAGATGGTGGCTTGGGGACTAGTATTTTGGTCATGAATAGAAGGCACTCTAACACACAGATGTTGTGTTATCAGAAAGCAGTGTTCTCCAATAAACCCACACTCAGGTACATATCAGTACTAGACACAATTTTGATTAAATTTATGCAGAATTACTAATCCACTATACCTTCTATACAAGTGTGTATTTTTGTATGCAGTCTTTTTTTGCAAAGATTATTTCCAAGATTAAATATAAACCTTTATTGCCGTTAATTGCTGTATTATCTATTAATTGCTGTATTATCTATCTATATCAGACAGGCCACCAAGCAAGCCATACTACCTTTTGCCTAACAGAACACTGTTATAAAAAAGGCATTCTGTTCACTCATTTTATTGGATCATACAACGGCACCAAGTAAATGCTAAGGCTCTGACTTATGCAAACATTCTTTTTACACTTTAGAGCAGTGTTTCTCAACCTTAACAACTTTAAGATGAATGGACTTCAACTCCCAGAATTCCTCAGCCAGCCATGTTGGCTGAGGAATTCTGGGGGTTGAAGTCCACTCATCTTAAATTTGCCAAGATTGAGAAACACTGCCTTAGAGACTACCAAAATGAATTTTAATATTAACTGTCGTGGTCTAAAGTCCTTGACATGAACTCTCTCAAAGCTTCCTGTAAAGCTTTCCATTTATTTTGCATTGCTAATGACATCTGTATTAGATACAGCTGGATCATTAGATGATGGGAACTCTAGCCTACAAAAGGTTATGCTATCAGCCTTTAAGGTGCCACTAGGCCCTCTGCTCTCTTTTACAGCAAAAGCTAATTGGACCTTTTGCAATAGTGAGCAAGAACACTACAAAGCTGCTGCTCTCTAAAGATGCTTTGCAAAATGCTACAGAATAGCTTCCATAGACAGACTTATAAGAGGGAAAATGTCCCAATAAAATTCACCTGCTTAATCTTTTATCAATGAGAATAATTTAAAGTATTCACATGGAGTTTATTATGTTACAATAAAAAAAATCTATTCCATATATTTAAGATGAAGCAATTAACATTTACTGGACACTGTTTTTAAAGTGTTAAGAGTTAATGATGCTTGATCTAAAGAAACTATCTTTGACATTCTTCATTCCATGCATGACATTAATCATAGAACTATATTTTTACTGTACAAAGGACTCTTCTTGCATGATTCCAATAGTCTCTTTATTTTAGGTATGAGTGAAGATTTTTTTAAAAAAAATACTGATTACTAAAATCTGAACCAGGATCTTTGCTTTATTATTATATTGTCCTTTCGCAAACTACAAAGATGAGGAATCTACTGACAGAACCCTTTATTCTAAAGATATTGCCCTCACAAGACAATTAATGAATTACCCACCCTTAATAACTATGCTTAATAATATCATTATTTAAAAAATAATGCTTAATAAGCATAAGAGCATTAGTTGATGCCCATATCTTTGATTCTAGGGACTGTCCATTCTAGAAGAGAACCTCTCACCAGAAAAATCTTACAGGCTTCTGAAGTGTTCTCATGTTACAAATCACTTGTCCATCATGGTTCAGGACCCCTGCATGCTTGTGAGCTTATGGATAGCTATAGATAGTAGAAAAAGCTAACTGACACTCCACATTTACCCCAAGAATGTACACAGGCATAGGTAACTTGTGATACTTAAAATACAGTGAACATTGTACGCACATTACCCTAGTATAGCATTCCCCAACTTGGCGCCTTTCAGATGTATTGTGTTACTACCTGGGGATGGTGACAGCTGTGATCCAACATGTCAAGACAGCACCAGGTCAGGGAAAGCTATTTTAGCACAACAAAGGAAATGCCACAACAATACATTCCTGTCT